GGGTTTTTTGGACTTCCTGAGTGGATATATTCTCATCTTTCATCATACCAGGAAAACTCTCTTCCAACAAATCTTTGACAATTTTCTCTGTGTTTTTATTTGGGTCTTCTTGTTCTGGAATTACGATCACACATAGGTCATTCCTTTTGATAGTATCCCACGTGAACCTTAGGCTTTCTTCATTTTCTTTGGATCTTTTTTCTGATTTATCCCCTTCCAAAGAAGTGTTAAGGTATTTGCCTTCAATCTCGCTAATCCTGTCTTCCATTGATTCAATTCTGCTCCTTTGCCCATCAATGTCTTATCTATTTCTGAAAATTTACTATTAATCTTCTGGATTTCTATATGTAGATTTGGTATCATTTCAAATTTTTCATTTATTTTGTCATTTTGTTCTTGCATTGTCTTTTGAATTTGTTCTAGAATTTTCTCTGTGTTTTCCTTGATCTGCCCCTCAATTTGTTGAAGATACTTAAATATAATTGTTTTGAATTCCTTATCAGGGAGTTCCAATGCTGTGTCTTTCTCAGGGATGTGTTTTGGGTCCGTATCCTGGTCCCTTGTTTCTCCTGCTTTATCTTGCTTCTTTGTGTGGACTGTGATGCTCTGTTGTCTCCAAGGCGTTGTGACATTTTTGTGTTTATATTTAATTGGTGATTGTATGTTGGAGTTACTTGCCCACAATTTTCATTTTCTTTGTTTTGTTTGTATGATATCTATGCAAGCAGCGTACTGTGCTGTGCTCCTCTATTTGCGAGTGGGCAGCACTTATACACTCACCACCTGTCTCCTTTCCTGTTGTCAGCCTTTCATATGTCCCTGCCGCCTTTGGCAAACAGACCCTATTCCTAGGTCCCTGGAATCTGAATGATGATGATATCACTTTAAGATCCTAATGGTTGCCATTTGTAAAGATTCAAAATGACTGTGCCCTTATTGTTGTTGTTATGTGCCATCGAGTCGGCCCTGACACATAGCGACCCCTCCTTGGGTTTCCAAGGCAGTATCACTACAGAAGTAGGATTACCCAACCTTCCTTCCGAGGAGTGGCTGGTTTGAACAGCCAGCCTTCTGGTTAGCAGTCAGGTGCCTCAGGCACTATGCTACCAGAGCTCCTACACTTTAAATATCCAAAATGGCCACCGCCTGTAAACATTCAAAATGACTGTACCCTCAGTCACTTTAAATATCCAAAATTGCCACCGCTTGTAAACATTCAAAATGGCTGTACCCTTGGTCACTTTAAATATCCAAAATGGCTGCTATATGTGAACAATGAAAATGGCTACACCCTCCGGACAGCAGAAAGTCAACAGCTCAGGTGGTCTCCCACCTTGCTGTTTCCCTTCCTAGTCATAGGCCACCAGAGCAGTTGTTTCTGTAGCCCTTGGTGACCAGGGCTCATCTTTTTAATGTCAATTCTCAGGTCCCAACACCACTTGGAACTATTCAAGCTGTTGGTCCCGTCAGAGTAGCTGACAGTCTGCAGCTCTCTCTGTACTCACTGCTTTTGTTTAGGTTTTTCCAGTAGTTGGTGCCTAATTCACTTCTGTATAGTTCCTTTTAAAGCTTAGGGCTCCAGGATTATCTTCTGTAACTCTGTCAATTGGTTTTTCTTTTTTTTGTTGAAGAGGGTCTGTGATGCTTATCTGCCTGTTCCTCCGTCTTACCGGAAGTCTCCTTTTTCTTTTTAAAGCATTTGCTTTATTGAAGAGCCTTATCCTAAAGACATTTTCTTTACATTCTGTATCTGAATTTTAGAATCTTATGGGGTTAATAGGAGTTCCTGGCTGGTGCAAATGGTTAAAGAGCTAGACTACTAACTGAAATGTTGGTGGTTCAAACCCATCCATACGCACCTTGGAAGATAGGCCTGGCAATCTGCTTCTTAAAAGTTCAAAGCCTTGAACACCCTGTGGGTCAGTTCTGCTCTGCACAGATGGTGTCACCATGAGTCAGAATTGATTTAAAGACAATGAACAACAAGCAAACCAAACCCATTGCCATCAACTCGATTCCAACTCACAGCAACTGCTATTGGGTTTCCAAGGCAGTAAATCTTTACGGAAGTAGATTGCCCAGTCTTCTACTGAGAGAGGTTAATACATGCCACCCCTTTCCCTCTTTTGGAGCCAATTGAGAAATATCAGATATATTGAGATCAAAATATCAGCAATTACTGAATAAAAAATTGGTTTGGTACAAGTGACTTTGATGTGCAACTCCAATGCACTTTGTGTAACCCTTGAATTGATTTACACAGGCAGTATAGGACGACTACTGGCAGCTCCTTAGCACCTGTCAGAAAACATTTTATATGAACTGTCTTTGCAGATATGTAGATTCAAAGGAGAACCAGAAAGAGCTGAAAAAGTGTATCTGTTAGTTCTCTCAAGTAGCATCTTCTCCAAAGGGAGGCGAAGAAGGATAGTGAGAGAAACCAGGAATATTATTCTAGCTGAAGTGCCTCCTCTTGAAAAATGCTATAAGCAAAGGAAATGAGGGTTCACATTCAACCTTGAGTAATGTTGTGAGTTTTCTCTTTTTTACTTAATAAATGCCCCTCCTCACACCATAAAGTGCTTTGTGAACAGCTCTTAAATATGAATTAAAGTTCCTATAAAAACAAATGAAAATTGTTTAGATTATCTAGTGCTGCTGTAATAGACATAATGGAAACAGATGGTTTTAACAAATGAATTTATTCTCTTATAATTTAGGAGGCTAAAAGTCCAAGTTCAAAATGCCCGCTCTAGGGTCTAGCTGAAGCACCCTCAACCTTGGGCTTCAGCTCTGCCTCTTGCTCCTAGCCCACTGGAGCTGGAGGCATCTCTTAACTCAGACGGAGCTACTGGCTGCTGAGGCTGACAAACCCAAGGTCAACAAGTGAAATGGCATAGTCCAAAAATTATCAAACAACACAGCAGGCCACTAGTTCAAGTCCAGAAACAGTCCCAAGATCAGCAGACAACATGACAGGCCACTCATTTATGATTTGGCCAAATGCAGGATCCATATGTGCTGAGAAGCTTAGAGACCTTTCTCAAAGCTGTCTTCTTATATACTGGAAGCAGATGCATCTCTAAGGCAGCTACTCAGCTGTTCCGTTAGATTCTACCATGGAGTTGATTACCAGTCTCATCATGGGGAATAACTACATGCCCAGCCACTCAAAACCAGGCCCAGTCAAGTTGATACACAACCTTAACAGTTCCACCCCTTGTCATCTTGGCAACTGTACGGGCCTCCTTCATTGGGTGCCTGAGCTTCCTAGTCCATCTAAGTGGTGACCTCACCCCCTTGGCCTGGGGGGCCTTGTTCCTCTATCCCTTGTGTGTGGCAGCCCTTCCCCCTCACTTTTGGGCAGCAGCTACAGCCCCATCCCATTGGCCTTCATGAACAACAGCCCAACACTCCAGAACCAAGTTGGTAAAGATCTGACTCTTTGAAACCTGGAAACACCCCCTGAGGCCACGGTCTTACCCTGTGAGGCTGAGGTAGCTCTGCTTCCCGTTTCCGTGATCTCTCAGCATCTGCCAATTAATGCCCGGAGGCAACCACTCCACCAGGAGCCTCCTACCCAGAGGCATTCAGCTTTCATCTCTGTGGGCTGGTAAGCCTGTCACTCTGTCTCATGCCGGTGTCTTGTCTCTGCTACTGCTGTCTCTCTGCTGGTCTTCCTGCCAGTTTCTCTGCCATGGTCTTAGCACAGAGATCTCAGGTCAAGGATTCACTCCACTCCTGTTTCCACATTTTAGGTATCTGTCAGAGCAACACCCCACTCTTCATACCAAGTTCTGTTTTAGTTATCTAGTGCTGGTATGGGTAGTGTAGTGCCTAAGGCACTAGACTGATAACCAGAAGAGTGGCAGTTCAAACCCACCAGCTGCTCTTCGGAAGGAGGGTTGGGCAAGGTACTTCTGTAGTGATACTGCCTCAGAAACCCAAGGAGGGGTCGCTATGAGTCGGGTCCTACTCCACAGCACATAACAACGACAACAACAATGCCAGTATAACAGATACACCATAAATGGATGGTTATCTACTGCTGCTATAACAGACATACCACAAAAGGGTGGTTTTAACAAACTGAAGTTTATTCTGTTACAGTTTAGGAGGCTAGAAGTCCAAGTTCAAATTGCCGACTCTAGTGGCTGGGTAAAGGCCCCTCAACCTTGACTCTGGGCTTTAGCTATGCCTCTTGCTTCTGGCCCACTGGAGCTGGAGGCATCTCTTAACTCAGGTAGCTGCTGGCTGCTGAGGCTGACAAACCCAAGGATGACAAGTAAAATGGCATAGTCCAAAGATTGTCAAGTTGACACACAACTTTAGCTGCCACAAAAACCATGTGATTTGTTTATCTATTTTATACATATATATCGAGGTTAAGAAATGGCAAATTGAAAATAGGAACCAGGTTCATTATGTATACGTATTGTATTATTAGGTGAAAATTCTGTGAGAACATTAGTTTGCAAACTTCTCCTGTGACTTATATATTCTTCAGTATCTGTCCATAAACTCTTTAAAAGTCTGAGTGAAACTGAGTGAAAAGTCTCATTGTCCACCAGTGTACTTTTTTCAAAGGCTCTTAGCAAAAAAGAGTAACTTTAAACTGAAGCCTGTTTTTTTATTATGTATTATTTATGACTATCCTTTTCTGTAGAATTACAGTTACTCTTCAGTGTGCTTCAGTGACAAGTAATATAGTAATGTAAACTTGTAAGTTTCAAGCCAGAAAAAAAAAATCTTTAACTTTGCTTATGGTCACATTTTGAGAAGCTTACTTTTAAAACTAGTTTCTATTGTACATAAGTAACTTTCACACTGATATTTATAATTAAGCCAAATATGTTTAATTCATTATATATTTTGGTTTTGAAATGGGTTTTTAGTGGTTTTAGTTTTCATTTTTGGTACTCATAGTTAAGAAAAATATTGTTATCAACTCTGTGAATAACATCTTTATATGTTACCTTCTTTATGTGTGTATATGTTAGATGGAAGGTAGTTCTCCAAAACATATCATCCAGATGACAGGATTTAAGATGGAAGAAAAGGAGGCTTTAAGCAAATTGCTCTTAAAACTGGATTGCACTTTTATTAAGAGTGAGGTAAGTAGGGAAACTTACAAAATATTCAGGGTATAGCTGAAAAATAATTAAAATACTAGTCTAAGAATAATAAAGTGGCTCCACGGTATATAAGAACAAAAAAGATGTATTATAAAAGATATCTTACTTTAGTAACATTTCTTCATATGGATTTTTCCCTGTAGAAATACAAAAATTGTACACATCTTATAGCTGAACGCCTGTGTAAGAGTGAAAAATTTTTAGCAGCTTGTGCAGCAGGTAAGTTTACTGTCCTGTCCTGAAAAAAAAATTGATTCATGTTAAAGAAAAAATACTGTTCTGAGTAAATTTAGACTCTAGAAAAGTAGCATGTTGTTGTGTCAAACATAAATGTGTTTTTCTGAAAATATTTGTGTGTGACATAATGAAAGTATTTTATTTGCTATTATTTTTCAGTAAAATTTTACAATTCATGAAAAATTATTAATAAAGACATTTTTTACAAATACTAACAGTACCAAGAATTTAGTGCCTCAGTGTTTTGTTTTGGTTTTTTTTTTTACTTTTTTTTTTTTTTTTAGGATTTGGGTGAAGATTTACAGAGTAAATTCACTTTTCATACAGCAGTTCACATATACTTTGTCTCATGTCATTGACCAAAATTTACAATGCAGCAGCTCCCCTCCCACTTCCTCCCCATAGTTACCTCCTCCCAGTGTCCATCCCTTCATACCCTTCTGCACCCTGAGCTGTCTCCCTGTGCATAAGCAGCCCTTCCTTCTCCCATGATTGTTCTCTCCAGGGCGTGTGTCTACTTGAGGGAAATGTTTAACTCACTTGCCTGTACTTTGTTTGGCTGGAAACCACAGTTGTGGGTTCAATTCCAGACCTGAAGGGCAGCTAGGGGCCATAGTCTCAGTGGTTACACCAAGTGCCTCAGTGTTTTATGTAGAGAAGAAAAAAAAAAAAAGAATTAAAAAGAAAAAATGTGGCACAAAATGCCCAAAACACAAGATTTTGTTGAAGCCTTGCCTATTCTCAAAAAAGTTCATTTTCTGTGATTTATTACTGGAAATAGACAGTGTTTTGTTTTGTCAGCTATCTCTCCACCCCCACTGCCTGCCTTCCCATTTATTCTATAGTACTATGAAGAAATGATCATCTGATTTTATTCTTTTAAGATATTAAATCCTGTCTCCCTTTGTTGCCATTCCTCTGTTGTTCTGTAGTATTCCTTCTATGTTTTTCTGTGCTGTGATTATTCTTGCAGTATCACTAGCTGTCCACTGATTGTGAAAACAAAACAATTTGTAAAAACATATTTAACTCAAGTGAATTTACTGTTTTTAGAATAACTTATCAGAAAAACAGTAAGTTTCATTATTACCCCAAAAAATGAATGCATTCATTGTCACTGCTGTTTACAAAAACTTTTGATGCCCCAATAAAGAAACCACAAAACAGTATTATTAATCCTGAAAATTCTCTAGCTTAGTTTTTGTGTTTTGTTTTAATAAGTTGTTTTTCCAAGTGTAACAATGCTGTGAACATGATTGGAAAAGTTTAATAGCAAAATGGAAAGAGTATAAATCAAACCAAAAATTGTGAAGAATAATTAATAACAATAAAGATTCAAGTAATGCTTCATTTTATTTTAGATTTTTAAAGTTTTTATTTATCTTTCAGCATCATTTAGGATTTGTTTTAATGGGAATGATTACATACAGTGTTCAGTGATGTTGTAGTATTCTGGCTCTCCAAAGATTTAGAAAATCTTTGTAGTATAAAAATAATGTTGTCAATTTAGTCTTATATTGAGAAAAGTTGAAATATTTTTGATCTTTGATCGTTATTGCATACCACTTATGAAAAGCAGCATTCTTTTGTGAATGACAATTCATTTGCTTTCTAGGAAAGTGGATACTAACTAAGGACTACGTAATTCATAGTGCCAAAAGTGGCAGATGGCTTGATGAAACAACTTACGAGTGGGGATATAAAATTGAAAAAGACTCCCATTATTCACCTCAAATGCAATCTGCACCTAAAAGATGGCGTGAAGAACTGAAACGCACTGGTGCTCCAGGAGCCTTCCACAGATGGAAAGTTGTCCTCCTTATTAGATCTGATAAACAAAGTAATTCTCTTGTAAGGTAGGATAAGACCTCATAAAAAATTGAAGTAATGAATGAGAAAACAATTTTGATTTGCATGTGAAAACATTTTTGGTTTGCATGAAATACCTTTTTATATTTCTTTGGCATTATTAATTAGTGCATGTGAGCCATACTGATTTACTCTTTGATCTCCTAGTTATGACATTGTGCTACTCACTTAAATGTATATGTCACTTGTTGTTGTTGTTGTTATGTGCCGTCAAGTCGGCCCTGACTCATAGCGACCCCTCCTTGGGTTTCCGAGGCAGTATCACTACGGAAGTAGGATTGCCCAACCTTGGAGCTCTGGTAGCATAGTGCCTAAGGCACTTGACTGCTAACCAGAAGGCTGGCGGTTCAAACCCACCAGCCACTCCTTGGAAGGAAGGTTGGGCAATCCTACTTCCGTAGTGATAACTGCCTCGGAAACCCAAGGAGGGGTCACTATGAGTCGGGGCCGACTCGACGGCAAGTAACAGCAGTATATGTCACTAATAGAACAAAATCTACTTTATTGTTTACTTTAGATGATTCTAATGAGCTCTATTTTGCCTCCCCACGTTATTTTTTTTTTTTGCCAAGCATAATAAATCAAGTAAAGTTGGTTTTAGTTTTGAAGTAGAGTATTATATCGTGACAGAAGTTTTCTTTTGGGTTTATATGGTACTGTCTTCATGATTCATACTTTTCCATCATAATTTCATTTTATTTTATCATTTACATCATATACTTGTTAATGGATAAACTCTTTTTGGACTGTCACTACTCTTTTGGAGGGTAAGGATTAAGAAGCTTTTTGTCATCTTTGCTGAAGTACAATTTATAGACAGTAAAATGTACCTGTATTAAGTTTAAGTGTATACTTTGAGTTTGGACTAATCTATACAGGTCAGTGTTATCCCTACTATAATCAAGATCTATAACATTTACATCCCACAGTGTTCGCTTGTGTCCTTGCACGTTTAATTCTGTACCACCAGCACCAAGTGATCACTGATTTCCTTTCTGTCACTATAGATTAGTCTTTTTTAGAGGTTCATGTAAATGGGATTGTATGTATACATTCCTTTGATGTAGTTTCATTTGCCAAGCATGATATTTTTGAGATTTATATATATTATTATGTGAATCAGTAGTTCATTTCTTTATATTGCTCAGTAGTATCCTACTGTAGCAATTTGTTTATTTGCCTATAGATGGACATTTGGGTTGTTGCCCATTTTTGCAAAACTGAATAAAATTGCTGAGAACATTTGAGGGTACATTTTCATATGGACATATTTTCATTTCTCTTGGGTAATTGTATAGGGATGAAGTTGCTGGCTCAGATGGCAAGTGTATGTTTAACATAAGAAAGTGCCAAACTCAAAAAAAAAAAAGGTGGGGACCAGGTTTGCTGGTCCAGTGGAGCCTGGTGTAACCACTGAGACTATGGCCCCTAGCTGCCCTTCAGATCTGGAATTCAACCCACAACTGTGGTTTCCAGCCAAACAAAGTACAGGCATGTGAGTTAAACATTTCCCTCAAGTAGACACACGCCCTGGAGAGAACAATCATGGGAGAAGGAAGGGCTGCTTATGCACAGGGAGATAGCTCAGGGTGCAGAAGAGTATGAAGGGATGGACATTGGGAGGAGGTAACTATGGGGAGGAAGTGGGAGGGGAGCTGCTGCGTTGTAAATTTTGGTCAATGTCATGAGACAAAGTATATGTGAACTGCTGTATGAAAAGTGAATTTACTCTGTAAATCTTCACCCAAATCCTAATAAAAAAAAAAAAAAGAAAAACACACACACAAAAAAAAAAAAGAAAGTGCCAAACTATTTTCCAAAGTAGTTGAACTTTTTACTTCCTCATTAGCAATGTATGAGACTTCAGTTGTCTGCACTTAGTTAAGCATTATTGTAGAAAATGAATCAACCGTATATGTGTGGTCTATTTCTGACTTTTCTATCCTGTTTTTGATCCATATATCTACCTTATGCCAATGTCACACTTTTTTCATTATTGTAGCTTTACAGTGCGTTGTGAAATCATGTGTGTGCCCTTCAACTTAGTCATTTTCAAAATTATTTTAACTATTCTTTATCCTTGTACTTTCACATACAATTTAGAATCTGTTCATTAATTTCTACAGAAAAGTATGCTAGGATTATTGGGATTGTGTTTAATCTGTTTGTCAGTTTAGGGGGAATTGAGGAAAATACTGAGTTTTAACAGTGAACTTTGTATCTCGGTTTATTTAGGTCTTCATTTTTGTCATTAATGTTTGTGGATTTCATTGTATATATCTTGCACATACTTTGCTAAATTTATCCCTAGAAATTTTCTTTTTTGAGATGCTAATCTAAATGTAAGGAGCTCTGGTGGTGCTGTGGTTAAATCATTGACCTGCTAACCAGAAGATCAGCAGTTGAAACCCACTAGCTGCTCCATGGGAGAAGGATAAGACAGTCTACTTCCATAAAGATTTACAGACTTGGAAACCCTACTCTGTCCTATAGGGTCACTATGAGTCAGAATCAACTTGATGGCAGTGGATTTGGGTTTTGGCTATTATAAATATATTCATCTGAACATTTTTATCGGTGTCTGTTGTGATAATTGACTTCTCTTCTTTATTCTGTTAATATGGTGAATTATATTAATTGATTGTAAATGTTAAACCAAATTTGTATTCCTTAAATAAACTCTACTTTATCGTAGTATGTTATCCATTTTTAATGTCTTGCTGGATTCTCTTTGCAAATATTTTGTTAAGCATTTTTGAATCCTCAACCTGAAAAAGGGTATCTGTGAAAAAATCTAAACCTACTATCTTATAATGGTAAAAGATATTTTTCCCCTTATGATGATCAGAACAAGGCAAAGATGCTCTCTCTGACTGTTTCTCTTATAATGAGGTACTACTGTTTGTTGCTTTGAGTCAATTCTGACTGGTGGTATCTCTGTGTGTTACAAAGTAGAACTGCTCCATATGATTTTTTACTCATCTTTATAGAGCCTGATTGCCACCTGTCTTCCAAGGTGCCAGTGGGTGCGTTTGAACTGCTGACCTTTAGGTTAGTAGTTTAATACAAACTTGTGCCAACCAAGGACCATGTACTGAGGTGGTTGTTGTTGTTGTTGTTATGTGCCATCAAGTCGGACCCAACTCATAGCGACCCCTCCTTGGGTTGCTGAGGCAGTATCACTATGGAAGTAGATTGCCCCATCTTCCTTCCGAGGAGTGACTGGTGGATTTGAACCGCCAGCCTTCTGGTTAGCAGTCAAGTGCCTTAGGCACTATGCTACCAGATTAGCAAGTGCAAAAAGGCAAAGAAAAGAAATAAAAGACAAACAATTGGGGAGGGGGAAGTAAAGCTAATTGTCTCTATTTCCAAAAGATATGATCTTGTACTAAAAATTTACAAACACGAGGAAAAAAAAAAGCTTCAAATACTAATTTAATTTAGCAAGGCTACAGGATAACAGATCAATACACAGAACTTAATTGTATTTCTCTATGCTAGCAATAACAAATTGGGAATTGGAATTTTAAAAAGCAATACCATTTTTCAGTTTCATAAATGTTCACTATTGTTTGTCCATTTTTTTTAATTGATTTCTGCACCTGAATTTATTCCTTTCTTCTTGGCCTAAATTTGTTTTATTTCTTCTAGATCCCTAAAATTAAACCTTTCCTCTTTTCTAATATCAGTACCCCCTAACCACTACTTTATCAAATCCCTCCATTTTTTGGATTAGTTGTGTTTGCATTTTCATTCTATTCATAGTATTTTTAAATTTCTCTTTTGATTTGTCACATTGCTTACATAAAAGTTAAAACATTTGTGGATTTTCCAAGTATCTTTCTGCTGTGGATTTCTAGTTTAATTATGTTTGGTCAGAGAGCATACTTTGTGTCATTTCAGTCTTTTTAAATTTGTTTAGATATATTGGCTGGCCCAGAATATGGTCTGAGTGAATGATCCATGTGTACTTGAAAAAAGAGTATATTCTGCTGTTGGGTCAGGTACTCTATGTATGTTATTTAAATCTAGATGTTTGGTAATGCTTTTAGTCTTCTACATCCTTGCTGATTTTCTATATACTTGTTCCACCAGTTATTGATAGAGGAATTTTGAATTTTCTAATTATGATAGTGATTTTACCTATTTTTCCTTTCAGTTCTTTGACTGGAAATTAATTTATTTGGTTAACTTGTGACCCCAGCTCTCTAATGGGCTCAAGAAAATAATGATTTGGGAGATTATTTGTCTTTTTCTTATTGTTAACTGCTAGCGTAAATCTCTTGTGCCTTTCTAAATCCTGAGCAGAACCAGAAAGCTCATGAAACTTTTAGGATATGTGTGTCTATATATATGTCTTCTGAAGGAGCTCTGGTGGTATAGTTATTAAGGCATTTGGCTGCTAACCAAAAGGTTGGTGGTTCAAACCCACCAGCCACTCCACAGAAGAAAGGTGGGGCAGTCTGCTTACTCAAAGATTTGCAGCCTTGAGGGTCCCTGTAAGTTGGAATCGACTTGAAAGTAGTAAGTTCGTTTTTTGGTTTTGTATGTTTTCTGAGTCTAAATGTGAAATGTATTTCTTTATGTGAATAAAGGTTAAACTTTTTTGAAAGCTAATTTCTTAGAAGAGGGTTGGCAACTGGTTCCATTTTTGTGGTCTAGAATGCTCCCATTGTAGTTATGTTGTCTTCCAAGGTAATTGTTTCCTTAGGATTCCTTCAGTGTTCTTTTGGCTTAGTGAGGTGACTTTTTCTTAGGGAATAATATAATATTTTTGGTTCATAGTTTTTAGTAGTCTTTCCCATATCAAGAAATGAGTGGATAGAAAGAATAGCATGATTTCTTAAGCATCTGGTCTGTACACCTTATAATTTAAGAAGTTACTGTAATAATTATTCTCGATGGTACTCAGCTTGAAGGGATCAATTTTTTTCAGAAAGTTCTTGTACATTTGGTGTCTTATTTCCCTAGGCTGCCCAAACAAAATTCCACAAAGTGGGTGACTTTAAGGAATAGAAATTTATTGTTTCATAGTTTGGGATTCTAGGAGTCTAAATCAGAGCATCACCTCCAGAGGATGATCCCTCCTTGTCAGTAGCCATGGATGTTCCTTGGCATACCTTGATTTGTAGAATGGTCCCTCACATGATCTCTTCCCCTTGTGTGTGTCTCCATCCATATTTGTTTTCTTGACTTTTTTATAAGACACTTAGATTTGGGTTAGGCCTTGATGGCGTAGTGCCTAAGGCATCTGCCTGCTAACCAGGAGGCTGGCGGTTCAAACCCACCAACCACTCCTCGGAAGGAAGGTGGGGCAATCTACTTCCGTACTGATATGCTTTGGAAACCCAAGGAGAAGGAATCACTGAGTAGCAAACAACTCAGCGGCAGTGAGTTTGGTTTTTTGGTTTTGGTTTACTCTGGTATGGCTTCCTTAATAAAACAAAAGAAAAACTGCTTTCCAAACAGGGTCCTATTAACAGTACAGGGGTTAGGACTTCAGCATAACTTTTGGGGGACTGCAGTTCAATCAATATATCTAGGAAGTAATTGATTCAGATAATTTGACTGCTTTTTATATATTTACATTTTTATTCAGAGTTTTAGAGGCTGGAAAGGCGAATATTATTTTACCAAAAAGTTCAAAAAGTGGAATAACTCATGTGATTGCCAGTAACGCAAGAATCAAGGCTGAGAAAGAAAAAGATAACTTTCAGGCTCCATTTTATCCAATTCAATATCTGGGAGATTTTCTTTTAGAAGTAAGTAAAATAAATAGTAAGTAATTTTTAAATGTCTATTTTATAAAATACAAATAGTAAGACATATGTTTAAAACTAAATTATGTTCTAAATTTCAAAAATGCAGGTAGTCCCTGACTTATGACAAGGTTCTGTTCCTATGACTCTGTTGTTAAGTTGGTTCCTATGTAAGTAGGAATACTTAATGTAAGTAAGTGAAATACCTCTTTTTTTTCCATAGCCTGCCATACAGCAGTGTTTTAAACAGTAAATCATAACATTGAACATCTGCCAGTGAACATTTAAGAATGATAACATCAGCAAGTTGCTCACTACAACATTGCATGTGGTACATAATACTTATGATACGATGTACCAGAAAAAAAAAAGACAGTTATTAGGTGTGGTCCATTGTAACTCAAGTATGTCCTGTGTCAAGGACTACTTGTATTGTTATTGGAAGTAATTATAGTAACACATTTTAAGGTAACTTATCAGTTATTTAAATATTTGAGAATAATTCTTACATATTTGAAAGAAGGTGTGGTGTTTTCAGTTTAGTGATGTATACTACGAAATAATTTGAAATATTTTATTATAAATCAGTAAAATAGTAGCCTGTAGTATCATATGAGAGTTTTTGTATTCTTATTAAGTATTTTTCAAGTTAATACAGAAATTATGAAAGACCTTTGAGTCTTCCAAGAATAGATATAATATATTACTCTATGTATCTGCCTTTTTCTACAGAGTAGCAGCAATATAGATTGGAAATTTTATCTTAGTTACAAGGGATAGATCTGTTTGGTCTATGGGTAAGCTCATTGCCTTTGACTGTGATTGGTCTAGCAATGAACATGTGAACCAATTCTGATCAGTGAGGTATGTGAGAGCTTCTAGAAATTTTTTCCTCACTCTGAAAGAAGAGCCACTGGAAGCCTGGTTCCTACTAGATGTGAACACAGAAAAATGTAGTCTGAATTATTGCTTGCTACTGTTCTTTGAATATGAGGGAAACTAGCCTTAAAATGAAGCCAACCATTTGGACAGCAAAATGCAGTAACAGAATCTGGACCTTTGTTGACATAATTTGATTGCTAGATTAACCAGCCTGAAGCACTAAATGATATTGTCATTCAGTGAGCTGATATATTTCTATGTTGTTAAAGTTAATTTGAATTGGTTTTTTATTGCTTGCACCCAGAAGCTTCCTGATACACTTCTCTAAGCAATTCACATATAGTATTAACTGTCAACAGAATGAAAGCCATTCTTAACTAGATTAATAAAGATAAATGTATTTTCCTTTTTCTGTGGAAAAAATGGCAAAAGCGTAATCTATTCACAATCTTATTTTGCAATAATATGACAACATTTAGATTCAGCTGCTAAAATATTGAAAGGCAGCAATAGTATTATCAGTCAAAAATAGCAGATCTCTATATTTGGCTTTACAATATATTTTTATTTATATTTTTATGTTATATTTTAAGTACTGGATCAGACAGCTGTAGTTCATAACCATTCAGTCCAAGGAAGGCATATGATGATGATTTTTGAGGAAAAAATAGAAATTTCTTACATTTTCTTCTACCACTGTGCCCTCTAAGTGCCCTCTAATAGTAGCTGTGAAAATTGACTGAGTTAAAAGAAAATGATTAATTGTTTTGTTTTTTCAAAACATTTTAATTGATATTTACTTTTCGGAAAGCTTCTTAGTAACAGAATCAGAAATCTTTTTAGTTCAGGTTTACAGATTAAAGATTAATGTTGTATGAGGCACTATGCTCTGTACTGTTTTGTTGTTAGGTGCCATCAAGTCAATTTCAACTCAGCAACTATGTGATAGAGCAGAACTGCCCCATAAGGTTTTCTAGGCTGTAATCTTTATGGCAGCAGATGGCCTGGTCTGTCTTCTGAGTTGCTGCTGGGTAGGTTGGAACCAATAACCTTTTAGTTACCAGTCAAGCGCTTAATCATTGTGCGAGCAGGGCTCCCTATACTATGCATTAGGTGTACTAAGACCACATTCTAGACTTCAAGGTGCTTAATATTTAGTGGTGCAGACAAGATATGAAAACCAGTATTACAGAAACCATTGATAAAACTATATGCAAGGTGTAGAAATACAAAGGAACAATTACTAACTTATTTCGGTTGCTTGGCTCAAGGAAGGCTTCATGAAGAAGAGCGCACTTAGGAATACAGACATGCCTCATATTGCTCTTCATTATGTTGCACTTCATAGATAGCACATTTCTTACAAATTGAAGGTTTGCAGCAACCCTGTGTTGAGCAAATCTATTGGCACCATTTTTCCAACAATATGTGCTTATTTTGTGTCACTGTGTCACATTTTTTTTAATTCTCGCAATATTTCAAACCTTTTCATTGTAAGGTTGTACACTTAATAGACTATAGTATAATGTAACATAACTTTTATATGCACTGGAAAACTAAAAAATTCACGTGGCTCGCTCTATTGCAACATTCCCTTTATTACAGTGATCTGGAACTGAATCTGCATTATCAAGGTTTGCCTGTATTGAAAAATTTCTTTCAGCAGTCTGCTAAGAAAAGGAAAGAAAATGTACTACAGAAAAGTCTTACGTAAATGTAGTAGGAATAACAGAAAAACATAGGCTTTTGAGCCAGATCAACTGATTTGAGACCCAGAGTTATAATTAGTTCTGTAATCATAGGGAAGTAATTTCTCATGTGCCTTAGTTTCTTCCTTGTAAAATGTAGAAGCTAATAATTACCTTACTTGGTTGTTGCAAGATTTATTATATCTACTCTGAACTAATGTGTTTTTTAAGTATGTGCTATGTGCCTCACCCTATGCTAAGTATTTCACATACGGTCTTATTTAAACCTCTGTGTGGAGCATAGTATATGGCCCAATTTTTATAGTTAGTGAAATGTGGTACAAATGACATTAAATATAATGTTCTCAAGGTCCCTCAGTTTATTTGCATCAGAGCAAAAATTTAAGCCCAATCTCTCTAAATATTAAGGCTTCTCTCGAATTTCCTTCTCCATATCCCTTTCCTTCTCTCCATTTTGGGTGTTATCAGGTTTTCCTGATACTCATCTACTCTCTCTCTGGGTTGTTAAGAAATACTTCATGCCATGAACTAGTGGTTAATTACAGAATTGTGAGATAACATTTAAGAATCAGGATGTAAGTATAAGTTAGGTGTCAAGTAGCACTCAAAAGACTCTTGTTCTTGACTTCTCTGATCTGCTTATGAGTCCCATAACCTACTATCATGAGTTCATTCAAGTTGTATGGCAAATGGCATAACTGAATGCAGGAATAAGGCTTAATGCCCAGAGTATATCTATAAGACAGAATCAACTTAACAGCAAGTAACAACAGTCCAGGAGAGGAAATGAACATATGAATTGGAAGCCAAGCCAATTCTCATAGCCCTACTGTGTTATCCTGCTCCTAGATAATAGAATAATTTTCTGAATAAGTAGACTTTTGGTTATCCATTTGGAACATAGCACTACAGTCTATGAAATATGCTAGATATGCCCAGCTTTCCTAGATCATACAGGGAGACAAAATACCTAACACAGTGTTCAGTACATACTTGGCACTAACTAATTTACTTAAAATAGGGAATAAAAATGAATATAAATAAATAAAAAATGCTATAACATAAAGTAGCCAACTGGAGAATATTATATGTTGATCATTGGTTTAGCTCTCTAGAGTATAAATTATTTTACTTTGAAAATATCACAAACGTCATAATTTATCAAGTTATTTTTTTACATAGTTAACTTATGTAGGGTACTTGTATCCTACATCCTGTTTCACAGACAGATATATAGAAACTAAAATATTTTATAAATAAGTATATTCAAAATTGTTGTTGTTGTGTGCTATCAGGTCTGTTTTCAACTCATATATGACAAAATTAAACTGCCCCATAGGATTTTCTAGGCTGTAATCTTTACAGGCGCAGATTGTAGATCTTCCGTTGATGTGCTCAGTGGGTTGGACCCACCAGCCTTTTGGTTAGCAAACTTAATCAGCTATTGCACCAGCAAGGCTCCTTATATTCAGGATTTGACGGAAATGTATTTTGCATTAGAAAGCTATATTTTCTTACCTAGTTACTAAAGATAATGGTATTTTCTTTTTTTACATATTCTGTGTAATTAAAATCTAAATGGGATTGCTCTATCCTGTGCCTTAGATATTACATGGTAATCTGGACCTATGGATTTATCTTCCTGTTGTCAGTCATTTGAAATTTAAAACCAGAAACTCATCCTGAAAGTTGTCCTTAACAAGAATTGTTTGTACATTCAGAGTAATTCTTCCTTTGATGGCAAGGAATAGAAAGGAAGAAATGAATGTATTTTTTTCAGTTTTCAATTTCACATTCTGAGTAGTTGAAAGAGAAATTCAATCACCTGCTCACAGGGATTGTTCTTTAGCTGCAGAATTGCAGCCTGCTAAACCCCAAACCAAAACTACTGCCATTAAATTGATTCTGACTTACAGTGACCCTTTAGGACAAAGTAGAACCGCCTCATAGCATTTCCAAGGCTGCACATCTACAGAAGCAAACTGCCTCATCTTTCTCCGACAGAGTGGCTGGTGGGTTTGAACTGCCCCCCCTTTTGGTCAGCACCCGAATGCCTTAACTGCTGCACCACCAGAGCTCCTGTACCCTGCTAAACCAAAAACCAAACCAAATCCACTGCCGTTGAGTAGATTCTGACTCATAGTGACCCTCATTGAGTTTCCAGGGCAGCAAATCTTTACAGAAATAAATTGCCTCATCTTCTTCTTGCAGAGTAGCTGGTGGGTTTGAACCTCCGACCTTCTGGTTGGCAGCCAAATGCCTTACCCACTATGCCACTAGAGCTCCTCGCAGCTTGCTATAGGGCCCTCATAATCCATATTGGAAGCTGGAACAGGTGAAAGGGAACAACTAGAGATTGTACTATAGGAATTACCACATTTTGGCTTTTTGTTAATTGTTCTTACAAGGACAGTGATTCTCCAGGTTCGTTGTGTAAGGGTAATGAGTCTCTGAACACTTTTTATAAGAACATTTTGGGAATTGTCATAATTTCACCTTTGACTCCCAACTCTATTACTGAGTTTCTGTAATTACTCATCTAGGTATACATGTGAGTATCTTTGCTTATTATTGGTAGGTGGTTCATAAGTTCAGTTTGGATTTCCTGGAAAAAGAAATTGAAGTGCTTGCGATAAGAGTTAAAACCAAACCAAACTCAGTGTCATCAAGTCAATTCCGACTCATAGAGATGCCCATTGGGTTTCCAAGGCTGTAAATCTTTACAGAAGCAGATTACTCCATCATTCTTCCGTGGAGCAGCTAGTGGGTTTGAACCACCAGCCTTTTGGTTAGCAGCCAGATACCTTAACCACTATACCACCAAAGCTCCTTAGATAAAAGTTAGGCAAAGATAATTGTTTATTGCTATCCAAGTAAAATAAGAACCGTGCATTCACTATTACTTCTTTTTTTCTTTTCTGTGTTTGATATACTTCCAACTGAAAAGTCTTATCAGTAAAAACCAGAAAAATAAGCCAAGAGGTAATCTGCCCATAATCAGATTTTTTTAAAATCTAGAATATTGCTTTCATTTGGACAAGGATTAGATAAAATTTTTTTTTCTTCTTGGTTATTCTTAAAAAAGATTAATTGTTAATAGATCAGCAAAGTATTAGCTATTCTTGAAATATGTGGAAATCATTTTACCAGTGTTTATAATCTTTTGATTTAGGAGGGTATATTTTTCCTACTTGTTTGACTAACAAAGTAGCATATTTTTACATATATAACATATACGTTAACAATTTTTTTTTTTTTGCCAACCATACCTTCCCCCCAAGGTAGGCATGCTATATCCATTTTTTACAGCAAAACATGGTGTAGCATTCTCACAAAACTACCTTGGATGGGAAGGTGCAGTTGACAGAAAAAAAAAAGTGCAACATGCCCATTATTTGTATAAAAATAAGAATAAAGTATTATATGATTATAGATAAAGTTGAATACAATAAGAAGTACATAATGTTGAAATTATCCTTAATTGTCTAAACCATTTTTACATACATACAGAACAAAATTCAGCATGATGAAGTTTGCCAAACCAATTCTGTTTGGACTAAACATAGTCATCAAGAAAAAAACAAAGATTCCAGGAAGGATATGCGATTTGTTGAAATGAAAGATGCCTTAAGAGAAACCATATGTAGAAGCAAGGTAAAATTTACAGACTGAAAAAATATGTTTCTGGTTCTTCTTACAAAATTATTTGAAAAGCATCTTATATGGTAGAAATAATAGGAACTATAGAATCAGAGAGCTGGTATTTGAACTCAGCTGTGCATTTTATAGTCTGTGACTTGCACAAATTAGGAAGTTGCATTATGTCTCTTGTTCAGAACTTTTGGTGAAATGGAGTTTCTAATACACAGCATGTTCTCAGTACATGATAATTGTTTTAAAATTTCTCTATATGTTTAATATGATATGCATGTCTTATGAAACATTTTTCTTATCTGTCAGCAATATGCATATCCATAATTCAGTCTAATTATATTACCTGCATTTAGGATGAATCAAAATTAATTATAAACAAATGAATTCTATTTTTATTAAAACCAAAAAAACCAAACTCACTGCTCTTGAGTCAGATTCGACTCCCAGCAACCTCTCCTTGGGTTTCTGAGGCAGTATCACTATGGAAGTAGATTGCCCAACCTTCCTTCCAGGAGTGGCTGGTGGGTTTGAACTGCCAGCCTTCTGGTTAGCAGTCAAATGCCTTAGGCACTACACCACCAGAGTTCTGGACAGAAAAACCCAGGAAGGAACTTTGAACTTGGAGCAATGCAAAAAAGTACCTCCAGAAAGCATTTATGTGGTTCAAGTAAAATTTTTCAAACAGTAATAGCAGCCAAAAAAAAGGCAATATTACTTCTACCCTGAAAAAGCTAATGTTCAGTCTTGTTCAATGTCATATCATTGTTTTATAAAGCAGCCTCTTTGATTACTGTATCAAATTCTCCTTTGCCTAATAATTATCATTACTTAGCAGCTAGTCAGCAACAAATGACAACAACAGTTTAAAATATTTTTATATGTGACTGAAAAGAAATTCAAAATAAAATTCTGTTTTCACTGAACTTATCAAAAATTTTGCAAGGAGCATTTTTACAATAATTTGTAAGTTTTTAAACTGAATAGTACCTTAAAAAAAGCATATATGGAGAGATTAGGTAAAATTTATCAGAGCTTAAGATATTTTTGCATTCTTTTTTTTCTGGCTCTTCCAATGTACAGTTGATTATTATGTGACTTATAAGATTACTTTCTGTGATTAACCACATGTACATAAGAGGCTTCTTGACTTAATATGCTTGCTAAAATATGCCTTGAAAATCTTGAGATCTTCTCATCCACAGTGTATTTTTATATAAAGAAAATAATGTAAAATAATGGTATTTTTATTAAAATAACCTAAGTTTTGACTGAACATTGGGAAAAAATAAGAAAGAATTTCATGAAAGATATGGAAATTATTAAAATTAAGAGGAAATACATAGAATTCAGACAGAAATTTTTTTCTTTTTAATTACTTTTTTTGTGATTAATTTCTTAATATACGGAATAAATAATATGATTTGTAATACTACTTGCTGTATTTAATATTATTGTACCTATATCCTATAAAAATACTATCTTAAATGTTTTGTTTGAAATACCTAATAATGGCAAAATGCAATACTACATCTTAAATTATTTTTACATATATTTGAAAAAATAATGAAGGAAAATTACATTCTCTTTTGACTTAGGGGAAAAGATAAATAGGGATACCAAGAAACATTAAGTTAAGAAATGAAAATACCTAATTTAAGTGTACATATAAATATGACATACAATTTTGTAAGTTGAACCATCTGCATTTCTCCACATTGTCCAAGATATAATATAATATACAAGGCTTTACTATATTTACTACCATGTATGTCTTATAATACCTACCTTCTTGAGAGGATCTTTCTACTGTGACTTATATTTGCTGTATTGAGGCTACATTTAAGCTACTTTCTAACTAAAGTGTTTTTATAATCATGCAGAAAGAAATGCAAAATCATGATGAAGGTTTTAATATTAGTTCTGTATTTACTGAACATCACAAAAAAGAACAATTCAGAGATTCAAGTAAAGATTCAAAATTTGTTAAAATGAGAAATACCCTAGGAAGGCACACATACAGAAATCAGGTAATAAAACTTTTTAATTTAAAAATAATTTATTTAGATTTTAAAGCTCCTTTCTAAATTTATCAGCTATGTCATTCATGAAATTATTTCTTCTGAAATATACTAAAGTGTTTTTAAAACCATGAGTAAACAGTTTAAAAAAGAATTAAGAAATGGGTGTTTATGTAACTATCAGCCAGAATGAGACATAGAACATTACTGGTTCTTTAACAACGGTATGGTGTTTCCCAACCGCATTTCCCTTATTCCCTCTTACCCAGAAACATTCTCTATCTTGGAATTTGTGTTAATTATTTTCTTGCTTTTCAGTATTGTTTTACCAGTTATGTATACATCCCTAACAATATATGCTTAGGTTTGCTATTCCTGAACTTCCTGAGTTTGTACTATTTGTAGTCTTTTGTGACTTGGTTTTTCTTCTGTTATATGTAATGTTTCATTGTATGACCATGCCATAATAGTATATTTTATACCTTTTACTATTGATAAACATTTGAGTTTATTCTTGTTTGTTTGTTTGGATTGTGCAATTATGAACAATTCTTCTATGAACAGCAGGCACATTACCTTGATGATTTTTGGTGTCTGTGTTTAAGAGTTTCTGTAGCACACTAGGTGCATAATTGCTGTCGGAAGGACTGTGTATGTTCACCTGTGCTAAGCAATGCCCAAGTGTTGTCCAAAATTTGTAACCGCTCAATAATGGATGAGATTTTCTATTGTATGTAGCTCTACTAATTTTTATAGTAGTACACATGTATTGTAAGTCAGACACTTTTTGAGTTGATTGGGATGTCCTGACATTTATGTTGAGAATTGTTTAACTGTGGTCTAAATACCTGCAGAAGGAAGTTAAGAGAAATTACGAAGATATTCGAAGAAGTTATACTTTGAAGAAAAAACGCAAAAAAGAGAAAGATTCAAGGAAAGATGCTGAACGTGACAAAATTAAAAGTACCTTAAGAAAGCACATATATAGAGATCAGGTAAACCTTTATAAACTAAATATGTAGTTTAATTTTTATGACTACTTACTGTGTTAAATGTAACCTGCATGTCTTATGAAAAATATTTGTTTGTTGATCTAGCATGCTATTCATAGTTTATATGTTTATATAGTTTATATTTGGGAGCTCTGGTAGCATAGTGCCTAAGACATTTGTCTGCCAACCAGAAGGGTGGCAATTCAAACCCACCAGCCACTCCTTGGAAGGAAGATTGGGCAATCTATTTCCAAAGAGATACACCCTGGGAAACCCAAAGACGGGTCACTATGAGTCAGTTCTGACTCGACGGCACATAACAACAAGAAGTTTAGTCCATAGTGAAAAATATTTTTACATGCATTAACAAAGAATTTTGAGTTAATGATCATAATGTTGAAATAACTTTATTTTGTATGAATGTACAAAAAAGGAAAAAACAAGGGGCCAAATTTTTTTAAGTGGAAAATACCTTAAGAATGCATATATAGGAGGCGGGGCAAGATGGCGGACTAGGCAGAAGGATTGCACAGACCCTCTTCAACAAAGAAAAGGGAAACCAATTAACACAGACACAGA